ACATGTCTAATTACCTAATTTTACAGCCCTAGTTCGACCCATCTATCACAAACAAACAGTCCAAAAGAACGAAGAAACAAAATCTCACAAATTCTAATCCATTTCCAGTCCTTCCATTTGAAGAAGCCATGAAAATATGAGCTTCAAGCTCATGAGAATATAACATACATAAAAAACATATAGCCATGAGCTCTCAGCTCATATCTTCTTCTCCACCGACACCAAATTCTCGACCCCAAAACCCAATCCCCACTCCCTCTCTTAAAGAACCCAAATCCCTCTCCATGTTTATTAACACCCAGCTGCTATCCTTTTAGATCTCTCAACTTCCATTAAGGAAGTTCACCAAATCCTTCCCCACATATTCAAATCTAATCTCTGCACCGAGCACTTGTTCCAGACCAAGCTCCTCAGCCTCTTCTACAACCACGGCTGCATTGACGAAGCCACCCGTGTTTTCGAACCCATCGGAGATAAACCCGAGGTTCTTTATTTCACTATTCTTAAAGGGTATGCAAAACACCCTTCGTTGCACGAAGCTTTGTTGTTTTTCGTTAGGATGAGAGTTGATAATGTTAAGCCTGTTGTTTATAACTTTATTTATGGAATAAAGGGGAGCTTAGAAAGGGCAAGGAGATTCATGGACAGCTGATAAAAAAATGGGGTTTCTTCGAATGTCATTGTAATGACTGGTGTCGGAAGTATGTACGCAAAATGTAGACAAATTAAGGAAGCTTATAAGATGTTTGATAGAATGCATGAGAGAAATTTGATTTCTTGAAATACGATTATTTCTTTTGTTATAAATCTGATTAGTAATAAATATTAATAATAATATCTTTTTATTTTTTTTAAAATCTGACGTGATAGTATTATATCATCGTGTACCATGACTTAGACAAGTCACGCCAACATCTTCATCCAGATGTATGTGTTTGGTCAGCATCAGACATTGATCGTCAGTTGACTAATGATTTTCATCTATACCGAAGGCGTATTTTGTCTCAAAATAAAACGTTAAGTGGCCAAATATGTAAAAAAAACAATAAGGGTAAATTTGATAATATTGTCAAACGTTAGAAATATTTTGTTGTATTATGCCTTCATTTTATGGTGAAGAGAATTCATAGTGGAAGAGTTTGAAGAAGTCTCATTCTCTTAGTCTTGACTGCGGAATTTTGTAGTGACTCTTAATGTTGACGTCAGACCTAAGGTCATGATGACTACTCATTTTGTTAGCAGGCTAAATGAATACGGTCGCCACCTAACAATAGATTTGATTTTGACAGATCATATGGATTTATCAGCGATCATATAAAGATTGTTATTGATCAATGGGCATAAGCCTCTGAAGGATTCAGTGAGAGGAATTCTTTCGAAGTCTTCGATTGACGGAGGAGTATGAGCGAAGATGTAAACCATGAGAGAGATCAGGAAGAAATATAATATTTTCCTCTTACGATTGACAGAATGTCATAAAGTGATTTGACTTAAGACTTATGTGTGATTTTTTTTATATTTAATGAGTCGTTTTTGAGGAACCGTCATGATTATTACGCTTAAACAATTAGGGATCATACATGCGTCGCTCTATAATTGGTGTGGTGAATAGGCGTGGTTTCAACCGCTAGAAAGATAATGCATCCTCGAGTTATTTAAGGGAGAATTTAGGGCGAAACACCTACTTTTACATTTTGTTGCATTCTATTTTCAAATCGTTACATTCTCTCTGTGAATTTTCTTGTTGTAATGATGGAGAAGAGCGTCGCGAAAGCGATGAAGAGGTTGGAGAAGAAGAGGTGAATCGGCTGTTTGTGGCGGACGATGGTTCCTTTGCATGTAAAATTGGTCGGAAAGAGGCTATGAATTTATTATCGAGTCGTGATTTACTGTGAGGAGAACTTGGAGTGAATATTTAAGAGTTGGCCTGAGCTTAGAAAAGAATAATTTAAAATAATTTTGGTTGTTAATCAAGATTAAGACCTATTTGGGAAAGAATTGATCCCAATTGATAATTCTAAGGGGTAATTTTGCTTATAGGAGAAAAATATGAGGACCAAGAGGTAATTTTCCCCTTGGGGAGATTCCAAATCAGAATTTTGGTTCTAAAATAGAGTCAAAACGTGGTTGTAAAATAATTAAGTATTCTGTGGTACGGCTAAGATTACATATATAAGTATTATATATTGGCAGGTGAATACATTAATAAAGCATGTCGATTAACAATAATGTATTAGTTGAAAAGATATAGCTTGATAATTTAGTTTTTGTTTTATTGCCCTTTGAAATTAAAGGTCAATATCCCCCACTGGTGGCACTGCAATTTCATCTCCTTCATGGGAGACTTGGTAGTAGGCAGGGCCTAAGCCGTAATCGGAGTCCGGTGGAAGTGCGAAATCCACCATTGGTGGCACTACAAATTCATCTCCTTCACGGTAGTAGTCAGGGCCTAAGTCATAATCGGAGTCCGGCGGAAGAGCGAACTCCGCTTCCGGTGGCAATGCAAATTCATCTCCTTCACCGACGTAGTCAGGGCCTAAGTCGAAATAGAATTCGGGTGGAAGTGCGAAATCCGCCCTTAGTGGCACTGTAATTGTATCTCCGTGATGCTTGTAGTCGGAGTCTAAGTCGTGGTTAGGTGCACCTAAATCCGCCACCGGTATCACCGCGAATCCGTCTTCGTGATGCTTGTAGTTGGTGTCTATGTCAAAATCCGCCACCGGTGGCACTGCAGGGGACATATCTGTTTCTTCAACGGTGACTTTTGGTTCGAGTCTACATGCAACAACAATGGTGATGGCTAAGATATGCAACATGAAGAACAAGAATTCGTTCAAATTTGCCATGAATAATGAACTTGTTTTTATAACAGAAGGCGACCAATCGATCTTGATTTTGAGGCTGAATCAGGGTTCCCTTTTATATGGGGCAGAAATATCCCATTTTCGAAACGTTTTCATTGTTAATACATAAACTTTTAGCAATAAATGAACTTAATTGTACATTTTAATAGCTTTGATGGGATAAACGTACGAGTTCAATTTGAAACTTGTGTCGAAATTTACCACTTAATTAATTGGCATTATGCTCCAACTTTCTGTTTTGCTCTTTAAAAAACTGGGCAAAGTACACAACAAATGGTCCTCCGACTATAAAAATGTAGCTTTTTTAAGTTCATTGACTATTAAAAGTTATAAAATGGTCATCAAACTATTCATTATATTCCAAACCCATTTTCCATTAAAAAATTAGTGATTGTCTAAGTTAGACATTAACATGATGGTTGAGATATGATAGTCGCTTGAGATTATGGGATCAGATTTTATCATATCACAATCAACATGTTAATGTTCAACTCAGAATACCATCATTTTTTTAATTGAAAAGTATGAGTTAGGAACATAATGAATAGTTAGATGACTATTTCCTAACTTTTAATAGTCAATGAACTCAACAAAACAACACTCTATAATCAAATGATCATTTTTGTAACTTTTAATAGTCGATGGACTTAATAAAATAATATCCTATAATCGGGGACCATTTGTGTACTTTACCCTTAAAAATCAACATTTATCTCCTCTTAGGATAAATAAGGGTACTTTAGCTATTTTCAAAATAAATGAGATATTTTAGAAATTTTATAATATATATTGTAATTGACTTTTTTTAAAATAATATTTTAATTGGATTGAATCTTTTATTTTTACTTTTATATAAGCAACTTTTAGTTGTATATTATCAAATTTATTTTTAATGATTATAAATAATTAGCCTAATTTTTCATATAAATAATTGTTTTTCAGATTCCAATTACTAATTTCCTAATTGCTCTTAATAGTAATGTAATAGTACATATTATATTATTAAACCCTAAAAGGAGTCATAGAATAAACAAGGGTAGTTAAGGTATTTTGAAATTAAATAAGTAGAAATAGTATTTTAAATAGGGGTGTAAATGAATTGAGCTTAAATGAATAAAGTTGTATTTGTATTCGCTTGTTTAGTTTTTAAGGCATTCATATTTTGGTTCGTGTTCGTTTAAATTTTTAATATAGTGTTCATTATCGTATATTTATTTTTGAATGTATTTGTGTTTGTTTATTTATTGTCTGTGAACATATTCATTTAACGTTTGCAAACATGTTCGTTTAACATCCGCGAACATGTTCATTTATATGTTCAAGAACATATTCATTTAGGATTATAATAGTCGTCTAAGATTATGTGATAAGATTTTATCATATCTCAGTTAGCAGGTTAATGTCTAGTTCAGACTGTCGTCAAACTTTTAACAAAAGATAAGTTTAGAACATATGAATAGTCAGATGATCATTTTGTGATTTTTAATAACCGAAGACTAAACAAAGCAACACTTTATAGTCGAGACACCATTTTATAACTTTTTATAGTCGACAGACTCAATAAAAATAGTACCCTACAATCAAATGACCATTTATATACTTTATCTTATATATAATAACTTTGTTTCTTAAACATAGATTAATTAAATACTATATATAGGCATGGATTATTGCTAGGACAGACAAGATGGAACAGATCTATTTTTAACTCATCCTAGACAATTAAAAAAAATTAATAATCAATAAGATTTAAAAAGTGGTAATCTTAATGGTAAAAAAAATATTATTATATTAAAGATCTCGGGTTCAAGCAAATAAGTCTACAGGATGTGTGCGTTGTCAATAATCAAACAAAATTTTAAACGAATATTATCTTGTAATCACTCGAACCATTAATTAAAATTTAAATTAGTATATAACAACATGACAAAGAGGTGCAACTGTAAAGGATTCATCAAACATAGTGGCTGGCGTTTATTTATAGGAAATTATATTTGAACATTCGGTACTCGACGCACTAAATAGGGTAAATACATGCTAACAACATGCAACCTTATTTATTTATTCATGGATTAATTTTTTTTCACTTTTTAGTATCTTGGACATAGTAGCTAGGCAGGCATGGAAAGAGAGGTTTTAGTTGTCGCCACCGCGGCCGCCACTGTCGTGACCCTCTCCATAGTCATGTCCCTCGCCGTAACCTTCGCCATTGCCTGACCCCTCCCCATATCCTCCACCATATCCTGAACCAGAGCCCGAACCCAAACCACCATGGCACCCCCTTGACCTTGACCCTGCTCGAGACCCCGAATGAGATCCCGCATACGAAACTGCTTCAGAGCCTGCATCCGACCCTGAACCCAAGTTTGAATAGGACAAAGAGGAAGAACTTGAACTCGAGCTAGAACCGGAACCGGCCCCAGCTCTGGACCCTGAGCCACCACCTCCGAGACCAAGTCCTACACCTGCTCCAATCCCCAACCCTATACCACCAAGATCAATACCCAAGTCCTTTCGTGCAACCCTCCACTCCGACACAATACTCGACATAGCAAGGAGAAAGGCGACCAAAGCTAGGGACTTAAATGCACCCACTTAAATTTCTGTCGATGTTACTCTCCAATCTCGTGTCCATGGAAAAGATGTATTGCGATTATTTTTTACAGTTAATTCTTTTTTATTTAAGTGAACGATTGTGGTTAGTTGTTCGATGAAAAGGTTGGAAAGATAGACGGATTGAACATGACGGTGAACAATCGTCAAAAAATGTATATAGAGAATTCGAGAGAGGAAGAAAAAAAATCTCTTTTATCAGTCTTGCATAATCGCTTATATACTAACCTTTCGTGTTGATGTCAGAGTAGTAGATTTGACCTTGACAGATCATGCAGAGTTACCAATGCTCATATCTAGGGTTGTTAACCGTTCGAATGACATAAAATTTTGGAGACTTCAAAGAACTTCAAAATATATAGATCTTTAGAGAATATAAACTTTTGGAAGAAATAAAATTTCGGAGATTTCAAAAACTCCGAAATTACTAGTGCTCGACAGACGAAAAAATAACAGCGAAAATATCGTTTTCTAGAGGTACCAAATAACATTATGTATTAGTTTTCTGTTTTTTTTTTTTGGCTGCTAGGTAGCTCACCATTTGCTTTTGTTTAGGTCAATAAGGTGAACTGAAGAAGGCAAGCTAAAAGGGTAGAGCGATATAGGTCTTTATTTAGTCGCATCGAAAAAGATTGATTGTAGAAGAAGATATATAAGAGCATGCGCATCCAACGCCATGATGCCAAGAGATTACGTGAGAGAAATCAATCATATCAAGGATCCCACGACGTATAACGACCCTTACATAACGAATTTGGATTTGGTACTATAAACACACATGTATCTCTTTACTTTCCGACGAGAACTATTGTATATGATCAGGGACGGAACTATATAGACCAATTTTTTTGTTTAATAGCATTTTAGGTCCTTATTAGTTTAAATTAAGTAAAAAATAGACTTTTGCCCTTCTAAATTTTGAGATTAAACACATAATAAATCCTTATTATTTTGAATTTAGATTCTTGCCCCTCCTAATATTTGATCTGGCTCTATCCCTGTATATAATAAGTAATATTTTTTAGATTTATCATATATATATATAATGATGCATAATTTGTGGACCATTAATACTTTTGCTATTAATTAGCATGAATTATATGTTATTTTTATTAACTGAAGTCTACTTTTTTGTTGATAATTTAATGAATTTTCAATGACAATAAGAATAGTCATTAAAATTATTTAAATTTAATAACTGAATATTATAGTGATAAAATTGATTGTAACAAATAAACACGATCGAAAAAAAAATAAAGAACATTAATATTTACGTAGAAAACTCAAAAAGGGAAAAATCACGGACATGGGAGAATAATTTCACTAATATGAAGTAAGAACAATAGAAGAAGATTTTGGTGAAATAAAATTTTATATATAACTCTTACTCTTAATATCTATTTATAGTATATCTACTTATAGGAATAGATACTTGATTATAAAGAAAACTAAATAAATCAAAACGTCACTTCAATAAAGTTCTCTACTTTTACTCAAACTTGAAATTGTGTCACTTTAAATCGAATCAAATTTTAATAAATCTTCATCTTGATGCGAATTATGTCAAGGACTGAATTTTTAAAGCATGGTGGAAGCTTTTCTTTCTGATGGCCTGCCACATTCTTTTATGGTGATGAAGTCTGTTTATTCTCAGCAAAGGGGGTGTTTTTAATGATGGGAGACTTTCTGTTGTGAGAAGTGGAGCTAAGTTAGCTTTGTTTTCTGTTTAGATTGGTTTTGCTATGTATCTCTTGAATGTAAGCAGTGCAGTGTAGTGGTTGTATTACGATTCGGATTTTGTGATTGTTTTTTCAGCAAAATAGAGTTTTAGCGGCGCTTTTTTAGTCTTATAGCGGCGTTTTTAAGCGCCGCTAAAAGTATTTGCGGCGATAAGAAAAACGCCGCAAGAAGTGCCAGCAATACCAACGCCGCTAAAGTTAGCGGCGTTTGAGAACAAAAAACGCCGCAATAGGTCAATATATATTACGGCGTTTTTTGAACAAACGCCGCAAAAGGTCGATATCTATAATGGCATTTTTGGAACAAACGCCGCAAAAAGTTATGATATATAGCGTCGTTTCTAGAAAAAACGCTGCAAAAGGTCAGATCTATAGCGGCGTTTTTGGATACAAACGCCGCAAAAGATCAGACCTATACTGGCGTTTTTAGAACAAACGCCGCAAAAGGTCAGACCTATAGCGGCGTTTTTGGACACAAACGCTGCAAAAGATCAGACCTATAACGGCGTTTTTAAACACAAACGCCGCAAAAAGTCAGACCTATAGCGGCGTTTTCGGATACAAACACCGCTAATTACCTTTCTTTAGCTAATATTAATTGATTTTGCATATTTCATTTCTGCTATACATCACCTAAATTTATATCTAGCTTTATCTAATTAACAACAACCATACATTTTAATTAAGATAAAAAACATAAAGAAAAATACTTAACAACAAAATAAATTAAAGTTTTTTTATGGAGAGATAACCTTAAAAGACATTAAAGTACAAATGAGTTACAACTGAACCTCAAAGTGTAGATATACATGGATTTATTGTTCGATACATCCTCAATTTCACTAGCGTCATCATCATAACCTCCAGATATGCCTTCTAAAGCTACTTTGTTTCCCACTTCATTGGAATTTGTCATATTCATCGTCTTGACATCTTATTTGAAAGTATCATTTGACAGTGAATGATCTCTCATCAATAGATTAAAAACAAATGGGAAACGTTGTGCCAGTCTATTGAAGAAGCCGCTTTTTGTTGAAGTTTGTTCTTCAAGATTACTGCAATTACAATAATTTAGATGAGACTAAGAAGAGAAGGAAACAACTAGCAGAACTTGCATTCATAACTTACATGTGAGTTATTGAGAACTGAAAAAAGATGTTGCAACAAACAACAAAAACAGGAAGTCAGGAACCATGAAAGCTTTATCTGCTTATAGTGAATGTTGAACCCAGAAAAAGAACGGCACAGGTCAGCTATATCTAAAATGACAAACTATTATTACTGAATACACTACATATGAGTACAGTTTTTACATATTCTACAGCAACATTATCATGTAGTGCTGTCTGTAAAAGTAAAACTGGAGACGATGGCGTATAAAGCATTTCTAGTAAAAAGAAAAGTTTGGCTCCCAAATGTTCTAAATAATCTAATTGGGAGATAACTTTAACATAACATTGAAAATAAGAATAAAAGTTACCTGCCCTGTGCTTTTCATATTTTGTGACAATGCCTAGATCTTTTTGATATTCAGCTGCAGAAATGAGGATCTTCAACTATGCGCTATTGTTTCTCAGATCCTAATTTGGAGATTGTAAAATTTTGTATTCTTGATCCCCCATTGTCAGTCAGGAGGATGCCACAAGCTTCACCAACATAGCCTTATTCATATATCTTCTTTTTCTTCAGAAGGGTAGGAAATATGGAGACCATCCCGATAAGGAAAAGCACGGACAAGGTCTTGAAATCATAGAGGTCCTTAACAGACCTGAGATCCCCAAGTGCGAGGCCAGCCTGAAAGAAGATACAATGGTGGTCTTAAATCAGATAAGTTATTTGAATATATATGGCTGCCATCTTTTTCTATCATTTGACTTGCATACAACACCAACGGATTGAAATGAATTAAGTCTCAACACAAAGTTAGAGACTCGATTCCATTACAACGAATGATCCATTAGATGTTGACAAATAAATATACCCAAATGACATCCATTGAACCCAACCTGACATTAGGAAAATGTATCCAGGGAAATTTAGTAATATATGAAGTAAGAACCCTATTACAATAAGAACCGGTTCTTTATCAACAAGCACCTACTTCAAACTTTTTTTTTATAGAAATCTCCCTAGTTAGTCTCTATGGTTGAACAACTCAATATTTGGCTAAAAGTAGAAAACTGATGTAGATGGATATGTATAGTGATCTTGTAGAAACTTTTCTTATTCCAAATTGTTAAGAATACACATCAATTAATATAAAACCTTCACAAACAAGGCATAGCAATAAATTGGATATGACACAAGCATCTGTTTTCTTTCAAATGACATTTTCAGGCGACAATACCAACAGTAACAGAAAAGAAGATAGGGTAAAACAAGTGAAAGATGCTAAATTAAGAGGGAAAACACGAACGAACGAATAGTTCCAAAGACAATAACAAGAGGAAAAATGAAGGTACCTCAGCTTGAAAAAACCTTAATTTATCAGGCCACAAACAATTAACCAAAGGTCTGCCAATCAGTTTTGATAGAAAAAAGCAGGAGCATGCTCCAGATGTGGCATTGAAGACAACCAAGAAAAGGACTTTAACACCAAAGAGAGCTCCAGCTAGCAAAGACATGAAAATCGTTCCAGGAATCATAAAAGTTTGCATGAAGATATAAGTTGAGCAGTAACCCAAAATGAATTGTGTTGGGTAATCCTTTGCATATGTTGCAATATTATCTCTGAAAAAGAACAGAAAAACAAGGAATTCAGTAAAATAAGTTGTAGCTAAAACATCACAGAAAGAAGTTTCACGACAAAGTAGAAGCACCCGGCAACAAGAAAGTAGTAAATAAACAAGTAAACTAAAGTACATGATAGAAATAAATTAGGAATGGTAATTTCAGCAACAATGCATTGTTAGTACATAGCTGGATATACTCGGTATGCAATATTCTCCCTACAATTTGCATTATTCGATGCCCTCACATGATCCACATATGAACTAAACTCATCATTAGTCATAGATTGCTTTTAAACTCCCTAGTGCTACACATTAAGGACAAAACAAATCAAAGGATTCATTCCGGGCAGAATATAAATGATAAGAGTTCTCATCCACAACTATCTTCACCTACAATATAACACAAAAAAGGAGGCATATTTCAATTTAAAAAAATTTTTAACTACAATTATAAGCTAAAATATTCCCAATAGTTCTCTCTAGCTCAAAATCCTATATAAACCACAAGAAATCTAGAATGGGCATTTCCAAAATCAATAGCAATGATCAAATCCAAGGATTTGGCACACAAATTAAGCTTATTTCTTCATCAATTGAGAGAGAGAACACCCGTTTTTATTATAAAGGGGGGGGGGAATCCTACTTGAGCAATCGCAGATCAAAGATGGAACGAGGGATCTTGAGTTTCCCGTACTCGGTAGCGGGAATGGTCAGGTAGATGTAGAACAAGCCGGTAGAAAAAATCAAGAAAACCCCGAAAAAGGCAGCCAATTCCCACCTTGAAACGGGGAACCTCTCCGATTTTAACCTCTTTCCCGACGGATAATCGTCATCTTCCTTGCTACTGATGCTCAACAACGCCGCCGCTGCACTCTCCTTGTCCCTCAACACATTCCTCGGAGCCGCCATTTTAGAACATCGACAAGATGAAAGTGCACAGAAACAAAGCTGTTGGGGGAACTTAGGATCCCAAAAGAATATAATGAAGTTAATAAATGGAAACAAAAGGTTTCTGAAGAATTAAAGAATCGTTTATGTGGGAATAGAATGGGGTGTTATGATGAACCCTATTTTGAAGAGAAATTTTTTTAAATTGGATGTGCGAGACCCCAGAGACCTTTAAAGCAATGCTTTCTTTTCGATGCCCAGACTGAATCTATGGAATTAGGGTTTTGTTTCGATATGTTAAAGTAGTGTTCAGTAGCAACGTTTTTTTACGTAGACGCCACTAGGTAATATGACAATTGCGGTGTTTGGTATTAAAACGCCACTAAAGTAAGAGTCTATAGCGGCGTTTGGTTTAAAACGCCACAAAAGTACGTGTCTATAGCGGCGTTTGTGTAAAAACGCCACTAAAGTACGAATCTATAGCGGCGTTTGGTATTAAAACGCCACTAAAGTACGAGTCTATAGCGGCGTTTGGTATTAAAACGCCACAAAAGTATGTGTCTATAGCGGCGTTTGAATAAAAACGCCATTAAAATACTAGTTTATAGCGGCGTTTGTATAAAAATGCCACTACATTACGATTCGTTAGCGGCATTTTTATACAAACGTCACTAAAGTATAGTATTTTGCGGCGCTATATGTAAATAATTACCGGCGTTTTCAGTAAAAACGCCGCTACATCCGCCGTTAAAAACCATTTTTGCTGTAGTGTTTATTCCGGTTATTGGTATTCTTTTCCTCCATTTAAATGTAGGGAGATTTTTAACGAGGCCATAATCGGGACGGCAAATTTTTAATAAATAAATTGATTACCGAGCAAAAAAAAATATTCACTTCAACGAATATGTTCTCTACCTCTTTCACAACACCCCTCAAAAGGATAATTTTTAGTAATGGACACAGTCCGAAACCAAGCTTTAACATGACATTTATTTTTACAAAAGCGACAAGTTTTACCTCTGCCGGAAGATTTTGATCTGTCCATTCCTTTACTACTAGAAAAACGCTCGCATTTTCTTCAACGGTCTAAGCTAGTCGATCCATGCATCACTAGACCCTCTACCTGAGACTCAAAACCAAAAGATGTTTCATCTTGTCGAATGAGTGCAAACCATTACATACCTCTTCAAGAATGAGTGTTTCACGACTATAAAAGATTGTGTCTCTAAAAGATGAGTAAGAATGAGACAATGAACGTGGGAGGATCAGTATTAATTCTTCTTGATCATACTTCACTTCGTCTTTAGATTAGAGATAATTTTTTTAACCGTGGTTAGGTGTTCTTCAAAAGACGAACCTTTCGTCAACTCGAATAAAAATGATGTTGTATTGTACGATTGAATTTAATTCAAATAAATTTACTTAAAATTATCCTAGTTTAATTAAAAGTTCAATTGTTTGCTTTTAATAATAATACAAACTACTCTATAAAAAATAATAATATAAACTACCATTGAAAAGATAATATGTTTAAGTTTTAAGAGGAATGCATAATTAGTTGCCACGGCCTCGTCCTGACCCAGCCTCCGAGCCAGCGGATGAACCAGCTTCGGAACCTGCACCTCGGGACCCGGCATAGGAACCGGCACCGCCGTACCCACCCGAAGAACAGGATGAAGAGGATGATCTTGATGAAGAGCTTGAACTTGAAACCCCAGAACCAGCCCCAGCGCCGGCTCATGATCCCGAACCGCTACCGCCTCTCAAACCGACGCCTATCCCAGCCCCAACTCCAAGTCGTAAGCCTCCTATGGGAGAAGAATTAAGAAGGTTGTGAAAATATTATTCATCGTTATTTTCATTGATGACAACCAACATAATTATACGCAACGGAGTTTATTACTGTACAATCTTATTAAGGTCCAGTCCAAGATCTTTTCTCGCAACATGACCTTCAGACGCAACTGCCGACACGATAACGAGTAGAGCAATCATAAGAGCTGCATGCCTGAAAGGAGACATCTTCAATGAAGAAGAAACAAAGTGAAGAAGCCTCGGGGTTTAAAGGAATTTGAGGTTCAAGAACGAGTAGGGATGATTACGGGACTTTAGAGAGACCAAATTAAGGCTACTTATAGCTGTTGAGCATTACAAAGCTAGTGTGAATATGGATAGGGTTTAAGCAGTGCACGTGATTAAAGGAGGAATTTATTTGTTTAAACAATTTGAAGTGGAAATCATGATGGGGGCTTCCTCCAAGATTTTGTTGGAAGGAACCATGTGGCTAAGACAGCTGCCAAATTCCATGGGTGTACCATAACTGTCTGAAAGTTGCCGACCCCATTATCAACAGTACACCATCGAGATCTATTAATTAATCGAGTGATTAAAGATAGTTAGTTGTCTTATTCTGTATGAGTTCAAATTTTAATATTTATCTTAGAAATATAATACATTTCCACTTGACAAAATATTAGTAGATCCAACGCCCATTAGTGCCGTCTAAGAAGGTTTAGGAAAGATTTTAACGATGTACACAACTTAAGTTTTGGGTTAGGGAAGTAATTAAAAAACTAGTATTCATGGCTATTATCAAGATGGACAAAAATGCTATCGGGGGATGCATGATGTTTCTTAGTATTAATTGTGTTAATTCGGATATTTTTCATATTAAAACGATTTAAATTTGAGTCAAATCAATCTTTTTTAAATTCAAATTCAAATTTGTTTGAATTTTTCGTTATGTGTGTTTTAACAGGTGAATTGTTGTTAGATATCTTGAACATCAAAGTACATGCATTGTTACACGTGATATGAATAAATAAATAAATGGTAAGTTTTCTTCTTCTTCTTTTTGGATAATTGAAAAAAATTTATTACCCAAAGGAGCAGTGTTCTGCTACAAAATAATCATCAATGGAAAAGCAACCTAAAATCAAGAACGACCTATTCACAAAACAGAGTATAGGTTATTCAATATTCTAATTCTTACAAAGAGTAATATTAACACTATCAAGTCTATTAATATTCTGACCTCTAAGTTGAATTCCGACAATCTCCTTGATAGCTTTAAAAATTTCAACTGCATTTTTGGAGTTTCCTTTGAACAACCTTCTGTTTCGTTCCTCCCATAGAGAATAGAGAAATGCACACCATGCAAGTTTCAAAATAGTGATAAGTAGGGATTTACCTTTCCAAACATGAGAAACCGATGCTAAGAAGTTTTTCCATGACAAAGAAGGTGACCTTAATCCAGAGAGTTGAAGAATGGTTTTCCAAAGAGAATCCGCCAGAGGATATTCAAGGAATAGATGGTCTCTTGTCTCCCGGTCCTCATTGCACATAACACACAAGCCATCGGTTATAATGCCCATATGTTGAAGCATATTCCTAGTTGGCAGTCTGTCCAAGATAGCCATCCAAACAATCATGATGTGTTTTGGTATGTGAACAGGAAATCAGATTAGATTATGCCAATTAACTTTGTCTCTCTTTACTCTAATCTCATCCCATATGGTGTGAGTCGTCATTGCTCCTATAGAAAAAACAGTTTGTGCTTCTCTTTTAAGTTTTAGCAGTTTCTTGAAACTCCAACTAGCATTAGTTTCACCTTCTGAGTGCCAGAAGTCTTTATCTTTTAACACGTAGGATTTGACATAAGCAACTCACAGTGAGCCCTCTCCTGCTAAGATGTTTCTAATGAGCTGAATCATACACACTTTGTTTCATGTTTTTAAGTCCTTTAAGCCGAGGCCTCCTTCAGATTTCGAGTGGCATATCAATCTCCAGCTTACACTAGCTCCGGTAGCAGCCTTGTCAAAACCTTTCCAGAGAAAACGAGAACAGAGTTGCTCGATCCTATTTATAATAGACTGTGGTAAAAATAATTGCCTGCACCAGTAGTTAGCAACACTAAATAAGACAGCTCTAATAAGTTCGAGTCTTCCTGCATAAGTCAAGTGTTTTCCTGACCAATGATGGAGCTTGGCTTTGATTTTTTCAATGAGGACTACACAGTCTTTTTCAGAAAGTTTTCTCGTTACTAGAGGTACCCCTAGGTATCTCACAGGTAAATAGATTCTTTGACTTTTTTCCCTAATATATCTCCAACTATATCCGTGCGACATGAGAGTATATATCCCCTACAAAATGTTACTGTTTTACAATACCATACCATTTGGCTTGTCTTGATGCTAATATATAGGTTTTTTTATATGCAATAAAAAGTATTACCGTAAAACACAAAACATTTTGTTCTTTTTTTGGGATAAAAGAAACTTCTTGCAAGGATCTTGTTCTTCATTGATAGTATGGCAGATGATAAAGCTGAAGGTGGTACACACAGGGCCGTGGCTAGGTTTTCGGGGGTCCTGTACAAATTCTTATAAAGGGGTCCTATTTGTTAGATATATTTGATTTTGGGGTAATAATAGTGGCGTTTTTTGAAAAACACGTCACAATAGGTCCATCTATAGTAGTGTTTATTGGAAAACGCCACTATATATATACTTTTTTTTGGCATTTTTTGGGCTATGCAATAATAGTGGCGGTTTTTTTAAAAAACGTCGCAATAGGTCCATCTATAGTGGCGCTTCTATAGTGGCGTTTATTAGAAAAGCGCCACTATATATATATTTTTTGGGGTTTTTTTGGGGGCCCTGCGCGGGTCGAGCAGTTTGCGCTGCCCAAACCACGCCCCTGGGTACACAAGAAGTAGTGGAAGTGCCAATAGTTGAAGAGAGCCCTGCAGATGCTGTGGTGGTTGTCAAGAACGAACCTAAACCAGTCGAATGCCCGAAGAAAAGCATTATTCCGGGGAAATTCTTTGAAGTGAAACGCATTTCGGGTTTGTTATCGGTCATTTCGTTTGTTTTCTCACTTCCGGTCCTTTCATCCGTCATCTGGTTGCTGTACATGAAGAGCTACGATTGCAAGTCGCTGTTCAAGTTGCCTAAGTTGCAGATCGGGATCAACATCGGCTTGATCTGTGTGTTCTTCGTATGCAATGCCGCTCTCTTCTTGAGAGATCGGTTGAGAATGGTGGGGATCGTGTTGGTTATGGTACCCATGACGGTGATGTTCACCATCGGTCTCACGTTCCTCAGGGCTGAAAGCATGGAAAACAGGAGGATTCCAGCTACACCGTTGTGGTTCGAGATGAAAACTCATGAGGACCAACTTTGGAGAAACACCAGCATTTGAAGTGATTTAGCGTTGACTTCAATGGAGTTCAAGTCGTATGATTTCATTATGAAGAAATTATCATCAATAGAGGTATCCATCATCATTTTAAGTACCTTAATAACGACTATCGATACTAATCAAGTTAGCTGACATCTCTTTGTTTTGTGCCATTTTAGTCAGGCCACCTGCAGCGTGCGGGTTGCAGTACGTGAACGCAACCTATTGGGAAAAGAAAGATAAAACCGAAACCGATCCCGATTGTGATGTATGGAAGAACTCAAGCGACGACTTATGCTACGATTGCTTAGCCTGTCGACAAGGTTACGTGAAAGCTTTGCAGAGCAAATGGTTGAAACTAGGAGTGTTTCTGGTGTGCATGTCTTTGCTATTTATCAGTTCCCATTTGTCTCTATTTCTGGTAACAATGTGGGAGCTCCATATATCTTAAAGCAAAGCTGAAGGGCTCAAACATTTTCCATTTTCTAGTACCTTTTTCTTTGTCTTTCATGGTTAGGACTTCATTTGGTTTAAATTTGTCTTGATTTCTAGCTGCCTACACTCCTAATAATGTTATGTTGTAGCCATCATTCTCTTGTACAAAGCTTCCCCATTTTTCCCATTTTGCTTAACCAACTTATAAATATTGTTACAAGAATTTACTTCTCGAAAGTCATACACGTCTCGACAAAATTAAACTTTTCTTAATCCGTTAAAACGGATAATAATCCTGACGTTTGCGAATGGAACAAATTAGGTTGGGAAGGTCGCACCATAATAGACCTCTACAAAACCTAATCTGAAATAGTTGATCAATATATTGAATACCGATGATTAAACAAAAAAAAAACACCTGACCAGCAAATGGGTACAAGACCCTAATTTGAGGGTAAAATGGAATGACCATATCGGATCTGCAGTGCTTCATCAACTGCTGAGAACAATTTAACAGCATAAAGCTAACAATCCAGTTTAACCTAATTGATTCCCTGCCTCCGATACTGTGTCAACGCAAGATTGATTATGGACATCATACTTGTTACGTAACAGCTTTGAAGGCAACTTCTCCTTGTTTACTTCTGAGCAAGAGATGGATCATAGGTCGCTCCCCACGCCGAGCTAGTGACAGCTTGACCACCGGTTGCAGCAATAGCAGCCGGACCATTGGTACTACTACTATATGGGATCATGCCCTCCGCTACGGCAGGACCCATCTGCATTGCAGGCCGACCGTAGCCATCAAAATAGGTGGTGCTACCTTGAAAGGGTTGTACATATGAAGGATCAGGATTCAAGTAACCGCCTGCATATGGTGCCACTCCTATTGGTGCTACACAACACAACATCAGTGCAAGTGTTAGAAGAGAGAAAAATAAAACCAAAGTGCCCTGTACCTTCTATACAGGAGAGGAAAGTTACCAGGCACAGTTTTCTCAGCACTTGAGACTTCGGCTCGTAACCTTTCAACTTCTTTTGCCATCCCAATTAGGTTTTTCTCCATAGCTTGCATTTGCTCCACCTGCTCTATGTTTGACCTTTTTTCATATTGAAATGTAACGCTACAAGTAAAAGAGATCAAAATATAATCAGACCCAACTTCTTAGGAACATTGAGATGAACAATGGAGAAAATAAATCATATTCACAAGAAATGGGTTCCATCACGAATTTGAATAATCAAATGCAGTGCTTAGTTCTGTGGTATTATTTTATAATGAACACCATTAGATTAATGACGACACGTTTGACCACAATAGCAGTAAATATTGCAACAACAAAAAATTTGGTGATGAAAACTTACGGAAGGATTTAAGACACCAAGCAACAAAATGACTTGTTTGACTCACCGTAATCTCTGGTACTCTTTCCTCAACCCTTCAAGTTCAGCCTGTAACTTTGGAAGGCACTTAACATCATCCTGAGTTTTTGCCAACTCCTGAGAGGCTTGTTGAATTTGGATGATTAACTCTTGTCTGGCTTTGGCTAAACTTTGTGCCTCAGTGAGTGCCTGTTGCAACTCCATTTTCACATTCTCACCAACCCGAATATCTGCTTCCATTTTTGCAATCTTTTCCTTTAGAACCCTGATCTGAATATCACTCTCATTCTGAATGCTTCTGATGTGCTCCTTGAGTTTTTGCGCTTCATGCCGTGCAGCCACAAGGTCCTCCTTCAAGGCGACATGGCGAGCTGTCAATATCTGATTGTCTCCAGCAAGTTGCTCAAGTTCTGCTGCCTGAGAAGCAATCTTGTTCTCTAAAAGCTCAGGTCGAGGAAGGGGCTCCAAAGCCCCACGAGCAGGAGGACCTGAGCCAGCAGGTGAACCATGTCGTATTGCACCTGGAGCCTGGATGGAACGTCCCTCATATGCTGATCGGATTTTTCTAGAACCCATCTGTCCAAGAATCCACTAGGACTATGTCACACGTAAATAGTAAAACCTCAGTCACAGGAATGAAGACCACGTATATGATAAGCTAGAATACCCTGTTACAACAATAAATTTTTGAAGCATCAACTATCAAGTACCCCAAACTGCAACCAAACTGTATATAGAGAAGCCCTTATACAGGTTGCAGAAGGAAGAATATCGTTCAAACTACCCAATGAAAGAAAAACTACAACAAAATTGTATTCTCTTTTTTCCATTTTTGTTTCTTCTCTTACTTTTATTGGATGAATTTAACTCAATAATACATCTATCAAAAACAATATAATTAAGCTCAGTTCATCAGATTAATTCAAATTGTAGATGCTCGTTTTGTCCGGAGCATCGTCAAAGACAAATCCCAACTAATTACCTACCCAAATCCCCAACCTAATCCTCACCTAAACCTGTCATTATACTACCAAACACAAGGAAATTAACATGCAAGAAGACAAGGAGATGGGGTGAAGAAGAAAAGAAATAAAGTGGTGGTGGTGGTGAGAACAAGGAGAGAAAGCTGAAGCTAATTGAAGGATTTGAAAACAGAGCTTGCTGCCGAACCAAAAATTTTCTACTCCGGTTACTGGATATAACCCCTGGTGGCTATTATGCAAAAGGGCGGTAGGTTTTAAGTGTTTGATTCCCTTAATGGCTGTATGTTTCTGTGTCGCAAAGCAAGTTCGTTTAAATGAAACCAACAGGTTTTGATTCTTATGCCACATTCAAAGCTCCTATATTCATTTTGTATTAGTTATTACACAACTTTTGAAAATTGAAACCCTTTTGTTTTTTTAATTACATGCATGTAAACCCACTGTTTTTGTCCTTATATCAAAGCACTCATCATCATCATAATTCACATATATACTCGAACCAAAAGAAAGGTAGAAAGGAGGAGATAGTGAGTTTACCTGAGGGTGGCCGGCGTAGAGAGTTTCAAAACTCTCGATTTGAGAAGATGAGGAGAGGAAAGGTTTGAGTGAAGTGTAGAATAGTTTTAGTCGATGACGTGGTTGGTGGCCGGAGCGAAAGTAATCACAGAGGAAACTGCCGACGACCGAGCGAGCTTTGGGTAGTGGGGGTTCTCAACAGCTTTCGTGGGAGAAGAAGGAGAAGGGAAGAGCGGCTGTTTGCTGTTAGTTTTGTTTATAATTAGGTTTAGTTTAATATTAGGGCTAATAATATATATATTAGTAATTTTGGGTTAATTATTTCTTGGTCATCGAATATAAGGGTAAAATTAGTTTTTAGTCCTATTAGGTTTAGCGTTTTTACATTTCAGTCACTTATAAAGTTTTTTTTGAATTTTGACCTTTTATTTGTCTTGATGTCGTTATTTTCCAATTTTGTTTTTCTGTTTTATTCTTTTGGATTAATTCTTTTCGTACCCTTATAAGTTAAGCGTATTTTTATTTTAATCCCTATTCTATTTATTGATACATATGTTTAATGTTTGCACGCATTTAATTTTAGTCCCTGAATTTAATTGTTTTGAATTTCCGCTTTTTTATACATTTAATATTTTTCTTTTGAGAATTACATTTTAGTCCAACATGAAATTAGGGATTTATTTCAATTTCAGTACGTGGAATGTGATATGGTTTATATTTTAGGAATTGATTTGTGTTCAATTTATGATTTTAGCTTTAAAGTTTTATGTGCATTTCTTTTCGGTATTTATGTTTGTTTGAATGATAATCTATGTAACCACATTATTACAAAGTAATGTTTAATTAAATATGTTTCACATTAGTTGTAAGAAATTATATTTAAATTAAGTAATTTTGTAATAACTAATTAATTTTTTAAATATGTATAGTAATAGATATACATTTTGTTTTTATTCATTTATTTTTATTAACTTCATGAATTTTTTTAATCATTATAATATATGTTTTTTACCCTAAATTTTATTGGTTTTTATCTTTGTTAATATTATTTTATATATTTATATTTGATTTGACATTCTTTGAATCATTCTTAGTATAGTGTTACATTTTGTATGTTATCCTCGTCTGCATAACTCGACATCATTACATAATTGGATTAAAGGGTAATGCCCTTTTAATTTAAAATTGTTTTGAGTAGATTGTCTTAGTTTATCAGAGATCCGCTTTTGACGAATTTAAATTAAAAATGTATCCCATCAGTTTCACCTAAAAAATTGTATCTCACTTAAAATTTGAGAACGAAAGAAAAAGAAATGTTCAATTATTTAAATTTTTCAAGGAAAGATTGTTAGAACGTATTTAAAATCTAATCTCGATATTTTTTAATAATCAAATATTCTTCATCTTTCTAAAAGGCGTGGTAATTTTAATTTAATTTGTCGGTGCATTCAAATGTTATAATATTATTATATTTCATTGTAAAATTCATATTCTATTTTTTTAGGATCATAAATCAAATTAAAGACGAGTTTGTAAATTTCTTTACAAAGACATTAATTAATTAACTAGGTATCGATTTAAGGCGTTGTGGGGGTGCTAATCATTCCCCACACGTAACTGAATCCCGAACTCATTTTCTGGTAACGCATACCTCAATTTGTGTTTTTTATTAAAATTAATTTTTATTTAAAATGAAACATTTTTGGGTGCTCAATCACACCCTAATCAAGGATTGGTGACGACTTTTCGAACCCTTTTTTATCGTAAAATAAATCCCAAAATTTTTCGAAACGAAAGGTTTTTTTTAAATCAAATTCACTTTTAATTTAAAATTAACCAAGAAAGAAGATAATTAAAAATGACACAGTTTTCAAAATCTCACATTTTAATTTTAAGAAAAAATCGTTTTGACACAAATATAGAACAATTTGTCAAGGGAAGTATATCCTTTCCACGAGCATACATGCAACATATGCGGTTGTTTAGAAAAATAACACAAAGCATCATTATAGCAGAAATAAACTATGGTTCTTACCGGGTGGAGTCATATACATGCATCAATAATATTAACTTGATTTCTCTAATTACTGCAATGGGGTAAATTACAAAACCACCTCAGAATATAGAAAAACTACAATTAACACCTCAAATCTTAGGAGTAACAACATGGAAAATACATTGACCTGTGCTCAATTTTCTGTCTCAATTGTCAAAATATTTCATACAAAGAAAGAAATTTTTATGGCATCCCACACCATCACAAAACTTCCTTGAGAGAGGTGCCACTGAAATGAAATGAAAAACCTAAATCAAATTTATAATCAGGTAATGCCCTGACACATATCCATGAACGACATCCCAGACAAAGTCGACAGTTAAAGCTTCAAATACAAGTATCTTGCTGGTTGCTTAATCAGTTATTCCTCCTAAACATAAATTTTCTCCACAGCTACCCCAATGTCAAACTCGTTACACTTAGCTCAAACAAATGAAAATAACCTCATATTAAGTTCTCCCAGCTACATATGTAATTAATTCTTATTATGTATTTATTTTTAAGGGGATTTTCTATCCTTAACCCATTAAAACTTAACAATGATAGACAAGAGGGGACATTTGTGGAAAACGGATTAAAGGGTAAGCAAAAACAGCCTTCCTTCATGGCAAGATAGGCCAGAATCGGAAAGAGAGCTTTAGAATCGACTCTGAAAACTGATGATGGATGTTCCTCACCGAAATTGGTGCCTCTTTTTTTTTAGCATCTAATAGTATGGAACATATAACTTTGATAGTAAGATCACAAATCAATAAGAATTTACCTGAGTATTGTTTTAAACAGATGAGGATAAATTGAGGTTGCTGGCTTCAAGTAAAGTGAATCATCTTTGAGGAACACACTAAAGTACATCCTGTTAATGTGATTCCATACACAATCATGTCACTATATTCATGTTGCAAGGGAAGAAAGAATTAATTTTACCTGGTGTGAGTTGTGACATGAATGCAGGCATCCGATACGTAGTGTAGCAACATCACATGCCAATAAATATCCAACAATTATAAAGAAAATTTTGTTTCATTTATTCACTCTCAACCCTCTTTGTATGACTCAACTATATGCAAATATGATTTCAGCATTAATCTAACTAAAGCTGCTTCATACATGCAAATACGATCTGCGACTTTCCTAGACCGGTAAAGTGGTATCCAGCTCAGACATACGAGAAGATCTCCACATGGTTCAACAATTAATACACAATTTTGAAATCCCATATCCATAAATGAACAATAGTCTTCGAACAAACAAATGCGGACATTCTCCGAGATAATCCGCATTCAACCCTCAAGGTTCATGCATAACTATACTTAAAAGAAATCCAGCATCTTTAAAGGAATAAAGAAAGATACTTCGTCATTCCTTGACATTTCATTTTCTTATATACAACAAAATTATGATCAATTTACTAAAGCAAAGCAATTTCAATTGGGTTTTCCTCAGACAATAATAAATTAATACTTTCACAAAGTATCAAAAAGGATCCAATGTCCAAAATGTCTTCTCCATTAACTAATATTGCTCCCCATGCTTAATGTTCAATACTTAAATCTGTTATTTAGGATTTCTACCTAAGTCATCTAAGAAGACTTAACAAGAAATGTCATGCTTCAACTCTTTTCGATTCATGTTATGACATCTTTCAAAGGTTCAATCTTTGTATAATACTTGATATGCAGATTCTATAAACTTCTTCCCTTCAAGAAAAAAGGGTCTAATTTTTAAAATTTAATGGTCAATTCTTCTAATTTTGCACAAAGTAACAAGTCTCAGTACGGAACTAGACAAAATTTATCAAACCAAAAATATCCATGTTTGGATTCAATATATATATATATATATATATATAGATAACAAAAACCCGTCATGACCCAATTACCTTTCGGTTGCAGGAACTTGAAGAAACCGAGGAATGGAGCTTTTGGGTTTCGGAAAATTAGTCGAACAACTTCAAATCCCAGAAAAAAAAGCCCAAACTTATTTCTTCAATCCTTAGATTCTCAGAACGAAAGGGAAGGGAAGTTTAGGAATTAGAATGGAGTGGCAGCGACAGCGACATTGGCCTTCGAATCAGCTAAGGTAATACCAGGGTGGGAGAAAGAAATATTTTTAATACAAATCGTAGATTTTGGTGAGATTCCAATCTGCGGGGGACCTTCGAATAGGGGCCGTATCATAATGGGTTTAATAAACAATTTAAACCCTAAAGTATACACGTTTTCACTTTACACCCTAAACATGTTTCATTATGTAAAGTATGCAAATGGTCCCTTAACTAAATGGTGTTGCTTTATTGAGTCTATCGACTATTAAAAGTTATAAAATAGTCCTCTAATTATAGGGTGTTATTTTTTTGAGTCCATCGACTATTAAAAGTTACGAAATGGTCATCTGAATATTCATATGTTCCAAACTCATTCTCGTTAGAAAATTAGCGGTCGTCTGAGTTGCATGTTAACATGCTAACCGATATATGATAGTCATTTGAGATTCTAAAATCAGATTTTATCATATCTTAGTTAGTAGGTTAATGTTCAACTCAGACTGCCGTCAAATTTTTAATGAAAAATTGATGAGTTTGGAACATATGAATAGTCGAGTGACCATTTTGTAACTTTTAATAGCTGGGAGACTCAACAAAGCAATGTCCTATAATTGTAAGACCATTTTTAACATACTTTAGTGAACATTTAAAATTTTATACTACAAAATTAGTGGATTAATCATGGAGTGGTCTTTTAGTTTTTTAATATTTACTTAATAAAGATAATTTAATTAGTGATGTATTTCGATGTTTCACATCAGTGATGTATTTCGGTGTGCGACATTCACTATAGACTCATTCTAAAAATAAATAAATTATCTCCGTATTTTTCACTTTTCTTCTTCTTCTTCTTCCATATGTTCTCTCTTATGCTTTTATGCTCCTAATGACCTATATTCAACCTTCTAATTGCATTTATGCAAATTAATATAAATAAATAAATAAATAAATTATATTACAAGTTAATTATCACAAAGTTTAAAAGTGGATCATTGAATTTCAAAAAGTCATAATTGAGTCAATTAATTGATTGAAACAATAAAATTATTTGTGTTGACAAATCTCAAATAGTTGTTCGATGTGGAATATTTTAATCATAAAATATGTGTATTTCAAAAACTTATAATCGAACCATTTAATTAATCAATTGTAACATTTATGTTGTGTGTGATATAAACTTCATCATAAGATTTACCTCAAATTCGTCGTAAGATTCACCTCAGTCTCCTCGTTCGATTCATCATATTAAAGTCTTAAGAATATTCAATAAAATTTACAAAATCACCCTAAAATGTTCAAATTTCTTGAATCTTGATATACATGATCCACTATCATTAGGCTTTTTGTTTTAGGATATGTTATGTCTCTTACCAACGACTTCCCTCCACCATTTGGATCATTGAATGGAGCCCTCAATCTTCGAGAAGTTCAAAACCCAAATCACTCATCTGTAACAAAACCGATTGAATGACTTGATTATAATTTTTTTGAAATGCATTGACCTATTTGTAAACTTACTAATAATGTAGTGACTTGTGGTGTAATTTATCCAACAATATTAATTGATAACTCAGATATAAAATTTTAAAGTACACTAACCCATTTATAAATTTAATAAATGGTATAGTTTAACCTTAAAAACAAATCATATCATTTTTTTCCTCAAAAAAATGTGTAAAACAACAAGTTTAACAATGCTTATATTATTTAGGGTAAACTACGTCTTTAGTATCTAAATTATTATATTTGATTCGTTTTAGTACCTAAACTTCCATTCTTTTTAAAACTATAGCGAACATTTAGTTTTCATTTCAGTTTAGTACCCCACCATTAAAAAATTAAATCATTTAGTACCTAAACTATCAATTTTGATCCGTTTTAGTACCTAAACCTTCAATCTTTTCAAAACTTAACGTTAAATTTTGAAGGAAGGTACTAAAATGAAAAAAAACTAAAGTTTTTAATGGTGGGATACTAAAATGAAACAAAAACTAAACTTTATGTATGATTTTGAAAAAATTGAAAGTTTAGGTACTAAAATGGATCAAAACTGATACTTTAGGTACTAAACATATAATTTTCCCTAATATTTATATAAATCGATTATGAAAACACTTGATTAATTTAATTTTTTTTATTCATAATAATAAAATTCAACTCTAAACTTGATTAAGTATGATAATCCTTCAAATTATCTTCGATCAGCAATAGTGAATAAACAAAGGCCGCACTGGTGGATGCTGGATCCACTATGGTTTAATGGGTCGGCACCTTTCTTAGCCACAAGGTTTGCTCGGAGAAACCACATCATCATTTCCACTTCATGGTTTTTATAGATGGATGCATGTGTTCATGTTAAGAGAGTGAATTTAAACTTTTTAAAATTTCGGGGGAATTTAAACTTATAAAATTTCAAGAGATAAAAACAGATTTTCAATAGAAAAATCTAAAATATATGATGATTTTAAATTTTCAAAGGGAGCGACTATCCCCACCCGTCTCTCTCGATCCATCCCTGTCCACACGTACCCTTAATTGGCACCAATATTTTAATGCTCAACCCCTACAAATAACTTCAACATTCTCTCTACTTATTCATACCTTGACCTCTAACCTCATACCGAGTAAAACTGCACGTAATTTAACTTCTTTCCCAAGGCATCTTCATTTTTGTGTGTTGTTCATTGAAGATGTATTGTTCCAGCTGGTTTACAGCTCTTATGATGGCTCTACTTGCTACCATGTCAGCTTGTTTATCTGAGAGCCGGGTTGCGAGAAAAGACCTTGGAGGCATAGGGCTTGGGGTTGGTGCAGGGATAGGGCTTGGTTTGGGAGGATGTGGTGGTGGTTCAGGATCAGGAGCCGGGGCTTGTTCCGGTTCGGGGTCTTGGGGTTCGAGTTCAAGTTCTTCATCGAGTTCTGCCTCTTCATCAAGTTCATCTGGAGGGTCCAATGCAGGTTCTGAAGATGATTCATATGCAGGGTCTCGAGCCGGCTCTGGTGCAGCTTCTGAAATATATATATATATATGAGCAGATAATTTATATTATGATTACTTTATTATCAGAAGTTTTAGTAAGAGATAGTTTGGTTTTGATTGTCTGAAATAAATTGAATTCTAAGTAAAGATATATATATATATATGTTTAATCAAGGAAGGATGACACATTGCATTGAACCCCAATTGAAATAATCTTAAATACAATGGCAGAACTTAGTGATAGAGATTATGAGGGCCAACTTAAGCATTAAAAAATCATGAGATTTAAATTAAAATTTTTCGAAAATTTTGAAGAGTTTAGTTTATATTTTTTCCCAAAAAAATAGGTTCTAATTATATTTTTTGAAATTTCGAGAGGCTTAATAAGAATTTTTAAAAATTATGGTTAGGAGTTTAATTAAGAACATTAAAAATATTTAAAAGTTTAATGTGAATTTCTAAAAATTTTAGGTAGACCAAATTAAATATTTTAAAAATTTTAAGAGCATAAATTATAATTTTTTTAAAATTTTGGAATACCATGTACCCGCTAGTATCTCTTAGGTTCCGTCATTGCTTAAATATGATTATAGATTAAATTCACTTGAGACGTTGATAATTCGAATATATGATTAATTTTTTGCGTATGGTCTAATACAACAAGGTTGATATGGTTTTAATAAATTATAATTAAATTATTTAAAAAAATTTAATTTAAAAACATTTATCACAATTAGTTTTATTTAATTATAATTTAAAATTAATTTGAACTATTAATTAAATTGCTATGGGCTTGAAGTTTATAAATTAAAATAAGATTGGACCATGAAGGCCCAACCCTAAGCTTATTCTGGCAATAAAAGCACACAATTGTAGGATGAAAAGGATAACCTAAGCATCTCGTCGTCTTATTCTACCTTTTTCTGGTAAGTTCCTTCCTCTCTTTTTCTAATCTGCCATTAATCTGTTTTCTTTCTTGTCATTGTACTGCTTTTGATGAGAATATTAGCATGTGCATCTCTAAATCAGCGAATCTCACGATGTTATTCATAAATAGGTGTATTTTAGATCCCTTGAGCTTGAAAAAACTGTGTTTTTTCATTTCCATGGTTTCTGCGAGATCGTTGCCTGCAATTTGAGCTTTCAATCTTGGAGCAGTCTCCAAGATGAAACGCTGAACATTCGTTTCAAAGTGAAAAGGGATGATGGGTTATTTTTCGAATCATGATTAGCTGGATCTAGGGATGGATCGAATGGCGTCGCCGTTAGGGTTTAGATCACGAAAATTGAGATCCGTATTTGATCCGAATAAATCAAATATCTGATTTAATTATTCACACGTAATAAACAATTAAATGATTATCCCTGAAAATTTTAGATTCTCGTATAATTTAGATGTTATATTTCCGACATAAAATCATGTGTACGTCCGTCCCCGGTGAATTCTTGAACCTGGTTTGACATTCTATGATACAATTATTGGTGGATTCTTTAAACAGGAACGCATGGTGAGGCGTTGATCATCTTTCATTACATATTTGAGAATTTGAGCCAAACTTTACTTTAGTTCTCAAAGTGCCCTCTTTTCCAGGATTGGAAGATGCAATATTTCTAGTCGATTCGAAGACCCGAAGATGAATTGCAAAACCCATGTATTAAACAACTGTAGGTGACAATGTCTGATTTTAGTCCCCGAATACGGTGATTGCCTCTTTGCTCCTTTTTTCCTTGCATAAGCCATCGATAGAAGATTCGATACCTACTACATTAGAACGGACAGCAAGCCTGCATTGAAAAGTGATCGATGAGGGTGTCCATCCTAATGTTGTAATTTGCATTTCTTTGATCAATGTTTTTTTACAAGTGAAAGAGAGCGAAAGAAGCCGTTACCGTGTTCGAACTAATGATTTGGAGATGCATGAAACTCGAAATTGTCGCCTATGGTTGTTTAATACGTGGATTGGTGCAATTCGATTAAATGTGCAGAAACAACAAGCTTGGATAGGAAGATGCTGAATGAAGGTGTACATCCCGACCAGGGTTTCAAATCGCGGTCGCGTTTTCGGTCATTTCAGGTTTACCGAGATTGCGGCCGTCGCGGACGCTATTGAGGGTGTAGCGAGTAACTCTGACGGCAGGGAAACCGTTATATCGCGGACCTGTGGAAACTTCGAACTTTTTCATTGATTCGTCGTTCGAGGAGAAGATGATTGAAGAAGCCGTTATCGTGTTGGACGAATGATACAGATAGATTTAAGACCTGGGATGGTCACCTATAGGATTTTAATACATATATTACGTAATTATTGCCAATTTGATCCCTCAATATGTTTATTTTATTTTCCCTTTTTCTTATTATTTATTTTATTGTAAAATAAATCACACGTTTAATATTTCAATTATTACTTTTGTTGTGTCTTAGTCATTAAACTAGGATTTTTAAATTATAGTTAAAGTTTAATTTTGGTTTCCTTTTATTCGTACACCACATAACATTGACATATTATTTTTATTTTTTTAAATGATGGTACGACGTTATCTTACAATGATATGGAATTATTTTATTATGAAAATAATTTTTTAATTTAGAGTAAAATACACTGGATATTATTTTATTAAGTCTATTAATTATTAAAAGTTATAAAATGATTTTTCGACTATAGAATGTTACTTTATTCTATTGACTATGAAAAGTTATAAAATGATCACATGATTATTTATTATATTCTAAAGTTATTATTTTTCGTTAAAAGATTAGTAGTTATAGTTGGACATTAGTATGATGACTGAGATAAGATAGTCTTTTGAGATTACGGATCATATTTTATCATATCACAGTCAACAAGTTAACGATCAACTCAGAATATTGCTAATTTTGTAACGAAAAAAAGACTAGTTTGGAACATAATGAATAGTCGGGTAATAATTTTGTAACTTTTAATAGTCAAGAGACTCAACAAAGTAATACTCTATTGTCAGAAAGACTATTTTATAACTTTTAATAACCGAATAGCTTAATAAATTAATATCTTACAGTTGAGTGACTATTTGTGTACGTTACCCTCTAATTTATTTGTAATATCAAAACTTAAATAAAACTTAATATCTCATAAAGTCGAGTAATAGTTATTGAAAAAGGAATTTATGATATCAAAATCACAAACTTTGTTTTTTTTAGAGATATTATTTGATTGATCTGGACCACATCATCTATGGTTCCAACGAATAAAAGTCATAAATTTAAAAATAACTTTTAAATAACTATTATTATTTTTATTTACGTATAAGAAATAAATGAAGATTTATATTTAAAAAAGCGATATGAACAAATATTATTAATTAGTTATTTTTAACTAACTTCTCTGTTTTTATTATGAAAGTAAAGTTTGCTTTGCTTTAGGGGCACCACTTGTGATTTTAACAGTTCCTTTTTTTTTTAATTAATCACTTATATTCAATTTATTAATCAATTAATTTAGATCGGGTACTGTAAAGACAATGACGACCCTCTCAATCCAGTTTGTTTCATTCGTAAACGTGAAGATTTAAATCCCTGACTTTGTTTAAGGAACTTAGTATCTCATCCCACTATATTAACTAGATAAAAGATTATAATCATTTTCGATTCCGTAGAATAATATGGGTGACAGATTTTGACCAAACAGTCCCTGATAAATAAATATATTACTCCAGCCACTTGTATTTTGTCACCCGTCATCTTACTCATTAACCACGGTTTGTTCGAAGCTATGCTTGGTATAAGGGTAGAATAGGGTGAGGGTGAAAAACTTGTTGATTTAGTATTTACTTGGGAGAATAAAACTCAACTCGACTCGAAAAATTGATGCATTAATTAAAGAATGCATCGGACTTTAATATAATTAACCATTTTGAATTAATGAGCCAGATCATTTTGTAATCCATGCACATCGAGCTTGAAACCCTAACGATCAATTGTGTTATTCTTTTCATTTTTTCAAGCTCATCGTTTTCTAATCCATGTATCAAAGCTTTTGATACCATTACTTTGTCGTATTATAGTTGGTTTCTCAGTTCTTTTTATAAGATTTGTTGCAGAGTGTCCATCAAACCTGCTTGATTATTCGACGCATTGTTGTGTCAGTGTTTATCAATCAACAAGATTCTTGTTGCCAGCATCAAACCTTTTCTTCATCTTCATAAATTTCCCCCATATTCTCCATTCCACCTTATCTTCACTTTCCATCTTTTTCTCATAAAGAACCAACCCATAGCTCGAAACCATGGCCTTCCGCCTCAGTAACAACCTCCTCGGAATCCTCAACTTCATGACATTCCTCCTCTCCATCCTCGGCGCCGGCATCTGGCTCAGTCGAGAAGGCTTGACGGAATGCAAACACTTCTTAGACCGGCCCATCTATGTCGGAGTCTTCCTCATGGCCGTCTCTCTCGCCGGGATGATCGGCGCGTGCTGCCGCGTGACTTGGCTGCTCTGGCTGTACGTAGTCGTCATGTTCCTCCTCATCGTGCTCGGCGTCGTGTTCACCGTCTTTGCTTTCGTGGTGACGAATAAAGGGGCCGGGGAAACTCTGCCCGGGAGAGGGTATAAGGAGTACCGGCTTGGGGATTACTCCAACTGGTTGCAGAAGAGAGTTAGTGACGGGAAGAACTGGAATAAAATCAAGAGCTGTTTGGCTGATAGTAAAGTTTGTACTGATTTTAACGACAAGTATCTCAATGTTCCGGTCACGGAGTTCTACCGTGAGCACTTGTCCTCCGTTCAGGTATGCTTTCTGGGATTTCGTTGATTTTAGCAATAGATCTCGTTTGGAGGAATTCTGGGGATGATGGGGTTTAAATTATTGCAAAAGCTGATTAAAAATTGTAGAAAGTTGGTGCTTAGTTTTGAATTATCTGAAGCTTTATGCATAAAGCAGTCTGGTGGAATCAATATTTTTCTGTGAAAATACTCACGTGCGATAGTTTTAATATATGGTTAAATAATAAAATTGGTAAAAAATAACCATAAATTATTTTTATTGATTTTGTTATTATTGGGTGTTTTACTGGATT